GCAATTAGTGGCTCCCCTAGAAGCAGGCAGTCCTTGTCTCCTCGCTAGTAGCGGTGACAGCGAGTTTGGTAAGTCTCGGGTCTCGGGTCGGCGGTGGAATCTGCCGAGAAGGGAGCGTATTCAAGGCCGCTGATGGCCGCAGCCTTCCGCTCTACCTTCTTCCTCTCCCCGACCTTCTTCTCCCTTTCCAATGGTGTTCCCTCCAGTCAGCCCCCCAAGGACCACCTTCGTGACCCTGGGGTGAAGCCGGTAAAGAAGCAGTTGAGGGGAGAGCGGGATGGGGTGGATAAGCGCTGATCTGGCTCGGATTATAATTCTAGACCTAATGTCAAGGGGAAACCTTCGCCTTTACAGCCATGCATTTGAGGTCCAGTGAGAAGTATTTTGTTAAAATACTTTTTAGAAAACTGAGATCTTTCTTTGCCCTGCTTCCCAACACATGAAACAGAAAGCACACCAATGGCAAATCTGATCATTCAAACAGGAACTCAGTGCCTGTGAACAAGTAAGATGCTGATTGATAGTCTCACTCAGGTTTAGGGCTCTTGTTTTCACATAAAAGTAAAATGTTGCGCTCTGCGAGACTTCAGAAATGGATAGAAATATCACAGTGTATTTGTTCTGCCCGAGGCTTTCAACACTTTCAACTATGGATGGGAATACCCTAGTTTTTAGATAGACAGAGAGCATAGTATTTTAAGCTGTCTGGGAGGCAGCCATGAAGCTACAAAGTCAATCAATGAGGGTATCTTTTCCCCACCCTGAACATTCCATAGATAGATAGATAGATAGATAGATAGATAGATAGATAGATAGATAGATAGATAGACAGACACACACACTCCACTTGCTTCACTGCCAACAGAACCTCTGAAGATGCCAGCCACAGGTGCAGGCAAAACATCAGGAGAGAATGCTACTGGAACATGGCCATATTGCCTGAAACATCAACTCAGAGAATACTGCCATGAAAGCCTTCAACAACATATCATTATTTTTCTCTCTCCCCCCCATTCCTTCTCATATGTAGCTCTGTGTGTGACAGAAGTATTGTAACTTATAGAACTACCTCAATTAATATTTGATGGGCCAGTAGGAAATTGTTTTTCAGTTACAAAACCAAGAAATTGAAAAATACAAACTTTTCCCTGCCCTTTTACACGTTAGCTATAGTTTACCTCCTCTGATTTCCGAAACTGTATTTAGTATAATTGCTCTGCTTGACTTCTGTTTTGCCCATCTAGTTCTACTTCTTTCCTATTTCCCTCTGGCTGTTGATGCATGCACCAACCAAGGCCACAATAACATGCTTGTCTCCGATTTTAGGTTTTGAGTATATGTTGCTCTAGCCTAGGTTGTCTGGGGTCAGTGGCTAAAACAAGCTAAAGGAAAGGGTTTGAAGAGAACCAGGCAGAAGAGTAAACTGATGAGGATCTTTCATAGAAGGCTCTTGAGTATAAAATACTTTATATAAATAAATAAATAAATATTTATTCCTTTCGACTGTGAACTAAACTTCTACTATTTATATGCTCTAAAGGCCTCGGAGAGTCTAGCAGTTGTAAGGGCTGGCAATGTGACTTGTTCTCAGATATAGCTGGGGAGACCTCAGTATCGCCAACTCCATTTCACTTGCTCTGCTGGATCACAGCCTTTTTCAGATTTTTCCTTGACATTTTTGCGTTCTCTAATTGGACAGCAGAGCAGGAAGGAATTGCTCCATTAAGAATATATGGCTAAAGTAATTGGTATAGCTTAGTCACTTGATGACACTTGAGTTGGAGTTAAATTTCTTACTGCTGTTCCAGTTTAGTTGGAGATATGATAGCATGCATATATTTAACACTTAGATTGGTATCCTTTCGAAGCCTTCCACGGCATCCCTGACAAGTCCCTAAGGTATGTCTCAAATCAGTCCTGCCAAAATCATTTCATTCTGGACTGACAGGTAGATAGATACAACTATCCTAGAGTCAATTATTAATGTTCAATATTAGATCCTTGCTAAAAAAAAAATGGGAATAATGTATTTTTCCCAGAGAAGTATCAATATCATAGGCATTCATCATCATCATGTCCCTGAAGAGAGTCCAAAAATGAAAGCATTGAACCACATCAACAAACAAGTTATATAACTTTCATGCAAGGAGGAACCAGTTTTTTTAATTGCTTAGGCCACCCCATAATATCTTGTATTAGAATAGGGATGGGATAAAACAGTATATAGTTTCTGGGGAAGTCAATGTCACCCTAAACTCAGTGAGATAAGATAGTGGAAGATATTGGTAAAGTATATGGAAACTAAGAGAGGAGGGGGAGGACCTCCTCTCAGTCCCACCTCCATCTCAAGCGTGATTGGTGGGGACTAGAGAGAGGACCTTCTTGGTGGTGGCCACCAGCTTTGGAACACGCTGGCGAGAGATCACGCTAGCCCAAACTCTCCAAGCCTTCCAAACACAGTTGAAGACATGGCTTTTCAGACAAGCCTTTAAACGTGTTTAGAAATTCTTAAAGAATGGATTTGAGGACCTAGAGATTATTTCACTTTGCACTTTATGAAACTGATATTGATTGCAGTTTGTTTTATATCGGCAACTAGTGTTGCATTTTATTGATTTAAACAGTGGGGTTTTATGATGTTATGTTGTTTGTTGTTGCTTCTATGTTATTGTTTGTTTATGCACTTGTATTTTGTGTGTTTGCACCTTGAGTGTTTGTGAGCCATCCAAGTCAATTATTATTATTATTATTATTATTATTATTATTATTATTATTATTGTGGAAAGGTTCAGGGAAGTTTCTCAGCTAGAAAGGAGGAAACTGAGAGATGATAAGACAATTGTCTTCAAATGTAGTCTTTGAAGGACTGTAAGATACAAGACGTTAAGGTTGGGTTGTTTTGTTTTGTTGTTGCCTGTTATATAGGGTATGACCAAAAACCAATAGATTGAAATGCGAACAACGGAAATTCCATTTATTTATGTATTTGCATATTCACAGTTGTTTCCCAGGATTTCCCAGGAACCGTTTTAATATATCTATAATTGTTTTTAATGTAGGTTAATTGTATATTATGCTTGCTTTATTGTTTGGCACCAAACGGTGCCTGTTGGTAGCTGTGCTGAGTCCCTCTTTGGAAGTGAGAAGGACGAGATAGAAATGCTCCTAATAATAATAATAATAATAATAATAATAATAATAATAATAATTGTGTAGTTTACTGGCATTGTATATTTCTGCCGCTTCTGTGATTGTTCATTTGTATTTTGATTCTATAGCCCACTTGTTGATAGATGTCCAGAATCAGCAGCATCTACCGTGGTCCTTTTTATCCTGGGCGTCGACCAAGCCACTGCAGACTTCGTTTTGGTTTGCTTCTCGATAGTTTGGAAACAATAAACATCGACAAAATCACAATCTGTCAACTGCAAAAGGCCACCTTACTTGGATCTGCATGCATCATTTGAAAATATATTACACAGTCCTAGACGCTTGGGAAGTGTGTGACTGGATACAAAATCCAGCATATATATCTCACTTGTTGTGACATACTGTGGTTTTGTGTCAGTAAAATAATAATAATAATAATCCCAGCCAGTTTACCAGCTGTATTGTCAAAAGCTTTCATGGCTGGAATCACTGGGTTTATTTATTTATTTATTTACTGTATTTGTATACCGCCCTTCTCTACCTATTGGCCACTCAAGGTGGTTTACAACAAATCAGTACACATAATATCAAAATACAAAATTAAAATGTAAAAACAGTACAAAACCATCACAACACAATAAAACCAACATCAGTAGTATCTCCTTGTTAAAGCATTGTCCAGTTCTATTGTCTAGTCATTTCAATTCCTGTTAGTTACTCTGCATTTGTAAACACTTGCTCGAACAACAGTGTCTTAACTTTTCTCTGAAATGTTAAAAGGGAGGGAGCCAATTTGATATCCCTAGGGAGGGCGTTCCATAGCTGAGGGGCCACCACTGAAAAGGCCCTGTCTCTTATCCCCACCAAATGAACTTATGATGAAGGCAGGATCAAGAGCAGGGCCTCCCCAGGTGATCTTAAAGTCCTAGATGGTTCATAAGGGGAGATATGTTTGGACAGGTAAATTGGGCCAGAACTGTTTAGAGCAGGGGTCTTCAAACTTTTTAAACAGAGGGCCAGGTCACAGTCCCTCAAACTGTTGGAGGGCTGGATTATAATTTGAAAAAAAAATGTTATGGATTCCTCTGCACAGTGCACATATCTGATTTGTAGTGCAAAAAACACATAAAAACAATACAATAATTAAAATGAAGAACAATTTCAACAAATATAAATTTATTAGTATTTCAATGGGAAGTGTGGGCCTGCTTTTGGCTGATGAGATAGCATTGTTGTTGTTTGTTTGTTGTTGTTGTTGTTGTGTGCTTTCAAGTTGTTTCAGACTTATGTTAACCCTGAGCAAGGGCCAGGTAAATGACCTTGGAGGGCTGTATTCGGCCCCCGGGCCTTAGTTTGAGGACCCCTGGTTTAAAGGTTGTGAGGATGCTTGCCACAGCTGCTGGCAAAACGTCAGGAGAGAATGCTTCTAGAACATGGCTATAGGGCCTAAAAAACCTACAACAATCCAATTTACCAGCTGTTGGGATTTCTGGAAGGCCAAAACATCTGGGGGACCCATTGGTTGAGAACCACTGCTCTAGTGTGATGAGGTCCTTGAACCATTCCTGGCAACAGAGCCCTTATGCCTCAGGGATCCAAAGCCTTGTGCCCAGGCGGTTACACAGTGTAGAGATGCAGTTATAGTTCCAGATCGAGGCTTGGAAGGAGGGAGGGAGGGAGGGAGGGAAGGAGGGAGGGGTTTTTTTTACCCTGAGCTCCCCCGGTTCAGTGGCCACGTGGTGCGGCTTCCAGGTCAGGCGAAGGAGCTCAGGTCTGGCTTGCTTGCTGCTTGCGTGCGCGCGCGTCTCTCTCTCTCTCGTCCACGCGCTCCGAGATCCCGCCCAGTGGGGCGCGTCGCCGTCGTCACCGCCGTGGCTTGAAATGCCCCCACGCCGGCGAGGAGAAGCAGGCAGCCCGCAGTCCCGCTGGCAGAGGTAGAGAGCCGGGGCTGCATGCGCTGGGCCGGCCAGGAGGGGGAGGAAGAGGAGGAGGAAGGAGAGGAGGAGGAAGAAGAAGGCAAAGGAAAGGGCCGGTCGCACGCTCTCTCGCTACCCACCCATCCATCCACGAACGCGCACCATGGGCCGGCCGGCTCTGACCCGGCTGCTGCTCTTCCAGCTCCTCCTGCTCAAGCTCCACATCGCCAAAGGTGGGTCCTGGCGCTCGGAAGGGTGGGAGAACCATTTCCCTTTCCCTTCTCTGTCTCCCCATAACAGAGAGAAAGAGATCCTCCTATTCATAGGCATTCCATAGCTTTCATTTCCCCCAAAAGAGGGGGATTTCCCTTGCCGATCACACCTGCCCATTCATTCCCTTCTCCTTTCCTCTTTTCTCCTTCCCCTGTCATTTAAAATCATCCTAACCATGATAATGGGAGGCTTTTGGTCCCAATGGCACCCCCTTTCCCTTCCTCTGAGAAATCCTAACAACAATAATAAGGTGAATGATGATATTGTGAAGCTTTTGGCCCCGATTGCGCCCCCGCCTTCCTCTGAGGAATCCCAACAACAATAATAAGGTGAATGCGAATATTGTGGAGCTTTTGGTCCCGATTGCGCCTCCCTTCCTCCCTCCCTTTCCACGGCGAGCAATCCTTCGCCCGGACTTGGCTTGCAATGACCCTTTGTTGTGGTTTCCCCCCCCCCCCCGCCTGCCTCCTTTGCCTCCCTTTCCCCACAAACCCCACCTTAGAAACCCCACCACAAACCCCAGGGCCCTCTCAAAGGGGCCTTTTTGGGGGTGGGAAAGGGCCCTGGGGGAAAAGAGAAGGAGCGGCGAAGGGCTTTGTGCGCTCGGGAAATGTGGCCTAAGAGGCGCGCTCCGGCTTTGCCAGCGGGATCGGAAGCGGATTGTGTGTCTAAATCCTCCCTGTGTTTCTCCCTTCCCCTCCCGCCCTTTCCAAGCCTGTATTGACTCAATCCTTTCCCCTTTTCTCTGTCTCCCTTTATGATGATGATGATGATGGCAATGGTTGAAGGCTCGGCCAAGGAGTGCGAAGAGGACCAGTTCCAGTGCCGGAACGAGCGGTGCATCCCTTCCATTTGGAAATGCGACGAGGATGACGACTGTACGGATAACAGCGACGAAACCGATTGCCGTGAGTAATAAACAATCGGGGGCAGAGAGGGAGGCTTTCGGGCTTCTGTGGGGACCCGTGTTTTGCCGGGAAGGCGTGTTTGTGTGAGGCGAGCCGGCCTCTTCTCCCCCCCCCCCCATCTGTCTCTGTGGCCTGCGCGCCTTTTCTGATGGACTTGAATCCCCGCTTTGTGCCGATCAGGATCGATCGTTTACCCCATATCCTAAGACTAAGGGAGGCCGTTCAATAGTTTCCAACTTTAGCTGCGTTTCAGCATCTCTTGAAGAGTGATTTCCCTAAATACGAGCGCCCTACCCCACCCCGGTTTGGGGGGGAAAAGCCTCTGTCGAAGTTCCCTGTAAGATTCCATCCTTTCCCACTTTTATGAATGAAAGTGCCTCTCCGGCCGGCGACGCTTCTGATTGGCTGGCGGGGCAACGCCAGATGGGTCACATGACGCGCCGGTTTCCTTATAAGAAAGTGCAATGGGGAGGAAGCCTTGGGAGACACACCTTGGACCAGCCTCCTTGCCAGGCCAGCCTCCTTGCCCTTGGCTCAGGAGGAGGAAATGGTGCAAGGCTCCCCACTGACAGGCTAAATTTACTCCCTCTGCGCTATTCTTGCACAGTCATGTTGGGATCCTTTAGGGCCAGGAATGATTAAGCTCTTTACCAACCCACGTCAGCCAGCAGTGATCATCTCCTTGCCAGCCAGTTCTTGCAGACAAATGCATAAGGAGGAAATCTCTTGGGCTGCAGCCCTGAACATGCCTGCCTTGGAAGTTACCCCACTGAACCTGTTTGAGGGTGCATCCACACTGTAGTATTAATTCTGCATTAATGTTTTTGCTTGGCTTAATGTTTTGGAATTCTGGGGATTGCAGTTTGGTGAGGCACTAGCGCTCTTTGATAGTGAAGACCTTGCAAAACTACCACTCCCGTGAAGCTATAGCACTTCAAATGGACTCGATTGATAGTTTGAGTCCATTTGAAATTATGACAAAACTACGGTCAGGTGGATCTGTAGTTGGTTAAGCAAACAAACCCAAAGGGTGATTCTCCCAAATGCTTTTTCTTCATCCTGGAAAGAAGTGACAAGTAGAGTGCTGCAGGGTTCTCCCCTGGGCCCGGTCCTGTTCAACCTCTTTATTAATGACTTAGATCAGGGGTCCTTAAACTAAGGCCCGAGAGCCAGATATGGCCCTCCAAGGTCATTTATCCAGCCCTCGCTCAGGGTCAACCTAAGTCCAAAACGACTTGAAAGCACACAACAACAACAACAACAATCCTATCTCATCAGTCAAAAGCAGGCCCACACTTCCCACTGAAATACTAATAAGTTCATATTTGTTAAAAAATGTTCTTCATTTTAATTATAGTATTGTTTTTAAGTGTTTTTGCACTACAAATAAGATATGTGCAGTAGGCATAGAAATTCATTCATGCTTTTAAAAAATTATAATCTGGCCCTCCAAAAGTTTCACGTTTTTTACCAGGGGTAAAGTACAGGTGTTGGCATGGTTGTAAACAAAAAGGTGTGCTTAATCATATGATATGGGAATGTAATAGAGTCCATTCATATTTTGGGAGATAGCTTTTACTGTTCTTTAAAAAATATCTGTCCTTTTATCAGTTAGTCAGCCCACTCGTGTTTATATCATACTTGCAATGGCAGACTTTTTGAAATGGATGTTTCATGTACACACTGCTTTTGATTTGGAGAAAACATGATCATGTTCAACTTGAATTTCTAGTATTTGTGTGTTCTCATTTGTAAGAAACCTTTCTCTAGGAAAGAGTTTTTGAAACAAATGTGGTTGTGTTACACAAAAATGATGTACATCATTAAAGTGAGATAAGCTGCCTGAAGTGCTGGCTGTCCAGATAATTGAGGTCTTGCAAGATAATGAAAAAAGATTTTTCCATTTTTGGATGTACAACTTGAACATCCCTGAAATTTGGAATACTCCAATATTGTCCACATGGGAGGCTGAGGGAATGACATTGCTTTTTGATGGTCCAAATGTTACGTGCACAAAATTATTTCACATATTGCACTGCCTTCTTGCTGGGTATATAAGATGTATATAAGACATGGGCAAACTTGGGCCCTCCAGGTGTTTTGGACTTCAACTCCCACCATTCCTAACAGCTTCACGCCCCTTCCTTTTTCCTTTTCCCTTTCTTGCTTAAGTGGCTGAGGGGGAAAAGGTAAGGGCCTGAGGCTGTTAGGAATTGTGGGAAGTCCAAAACACCTGGAGGGCCCAAGTTTGCCCATGCCTGGTGTAGCAGCTTGTCTGGAAGGGCTCCCAGTTCAAAGCTGTAAATGGGGGATTTTATTCAGCTGTGTGGAAGGGGTCCCAGTCATATATTACTGACTGGTCTAAGTTCAGTTAAGCTACAGCCCTTCACAGTTGGATGCAGAATGTCTGCTACTCGGTAGTTCCAGCAGCCTTAGCATAACCAATGGTGAGTGATGATGGAAGCTGCACTCCAACATTTGGAGGACTAAAAGTTGCCCACCTGTGATGTGCTATGAATAATTGGCTAGAAGAGCTAAGTGGTTGGGAATTCTACGTAAATGTGCTTAGGAATTGACTGTGACTGAACATCATGGTTTGCTGTGGGATTTGAACCCAGATCTTGCCAACTTCTTTGCCATGTATTGCAGTATGTTGTCAGAATGGGCCTATGTTGGGATATCTATTGTGTTGTGTAAGCTTCATGGACCTTTGATACTTGCTAATTTAAGTATTTGAGAAATTACATTATGTATGAATGGCAGAGGAACAAGAGGTAACTGATAGACGGAAGAGGAATGTTATGCTATTTTTGACTCTGTCTGCTGAACAGTGGTGATGTTTTGGCTTTGGTGGTGGAAATAAAAACCTCTGTGTGTGTGTGTGTTTGAAGATGCATGTTGTTTTAGGGAAATAACTACTGAGCGAAAGCTGTGTTCTAATTTCCTTGGTATTTGTTCCGGTAAACCACAAGTGCTCTGCCTGAGGAACTACTGGGAGATATGAGATACGGAAGAAGTGCTTTCTTGTGCTATTTACTTAATGCTGCGTTTCTCCTCTGTAACTGATCATTGCCACAGTCATTAACACTAGTCCTCATAAGGCCTAGACCTTGGAAATAAAAAGGGAATAAACTTGTACCACTGTAGGTTGTGGATCACAATCAAATGGTTTTTTTATGCTCAAAATCCTTTTTTACACAGACAAGTGAGTTTTACAGAGGAGGCTGATTAACTAACTAACTGCTGTTTTAATATAGCAGTTTCACTAAGGGCCACATCAGCCTTATGGTTGCCTTCAAAGGGCTGGTTGTAATTGTAAGACTGTATAAATGCAACTTTGTTGCCCTGGCATTGAAAGTCTTGCAGACCACATAAAATGATGTAGTAGACCAGATTCAGCCTGCGGGCCTTCCATTTGACATATGTGCTATAAAACATAATTTTTGGGCATCTTTGGGGTAGATTTCATAATAGAAATGCCTGCCTGCCTGCCCCTTGAAATGGGAAAGAGGATATGGTGTTCTCTGTAAGGTGGGGAAAAACTTAAAACTCAATGATGTACATCATTTGATGTGGTGCAGCCATTGTACTCTATGAAGGCTCTACCATGTGTGGGAGTTATCCTTTGTAGTTCTCACATAGTAATGCATATCGCGATATAGAGTAGACATGGGCAAACTTCAGCCTTCCAGGTTTTATTATCATTATTATCATCATTATTATATTGATTTATACCCTGCTTTATCTCTTCCAAGGGAGACTCAAAATAGCTTAAAATAAACATCAGCATACAATTTAAAATATAGCAAAGGTTTCCCTTCAACATTAAGTCTAGTTAAGTCTGACTCTGGGGGTTGTTGTTTGTCTCAATTTCTAAGCCAAAGAGCCAGTGTTGTCTGTAGATGCCTCCTAGGGCATGCGGCTGGCATGATTGCATAGTGTGCCATTACCTTTCCACTTATTGATCTGCTCACAACACTGCTAGGTTGGCAGAAGCTGAGCCTAACAGTGGGAGCTCATCCCACGGATTTGAACTGCCAACCTTCCGTTCAGTAAGTTCTGCAGCTTAGCGGTTTAACCCGCTGTGCCACCACAGCTCTTAATTTAAAATATACAAGTATGCAAACTTAAAACAGGATTAAATATAAACAGTACCCAAAATGTTTTGAAGTTCAACTCCCAGAAATTGTGGGAGTCCAAAACACCTGGAGGATCAAAGCTTGCCCATGCTTGCTATAAAGATAACTGGTTTTCGAGCATCAGAAGGGAGGAGTGCGTATGTTTGCTTATAACTTGGAAGACATTGATAGAAAATCGATCAATTAAAGCACATGACCCTTCAATCACACCAGGGTAGACATCTTCATGCTCTCTTTTGATGTCATAGACTGTAAATCCCATAATAACTAATTATTGACCATGCTTCTCTGGCTGTTGATAATTGGAGTACAAAACATTTGAGGACACAAAGCACACCACTGGCATAGGCTGTTTGTGCTTAGTTTATACTAATACTGGGCAAAATCAGCTTCCAGCTGTTAAATCTCCCATTTATTCTTTGTCTCCAATCCCTGATTTGTCCTGGCAAAAATGGGCTCACACCATGTCTCCTATATGAGGATTTTAATAGTGTCATATCTAGGTTGTATAACACTTGCTGTTAGGCAGCAGAGGCTGAAATAAAACACTGAGGTTGTTATGCTTCAGCAGAAGGTTCAAACTGTCTTTATAGAAAAATGAAGCCGGGTGGGGGCTGAGGTGGCACAATGGGTTAAAGTGTTGCGCTGCTGAGTTTGCTAACCTGAAGGTTAGCAGTTTGAATCCACAAAACAATGAGCTCCCACTGTCAGCTCCAGCTCCTGCCAACCTGGCAGTCTGAAAACGTGCAAATGTGAGTAGATCAATAGGTACTGCCTTGGTAGGAAGGTAAAAAGGCTCCCCACAAAGTCATGCTAGCTAAATGACCAGGAGGTGTCTACGGACAATGCAGGCTCTCAGCT